CGGGTCCCGCTGCGCACCCGCGGACGCCCCCGAAACTTCGCGGGGGCGGCGGGGTGCGGGGTGCGGGATGCGGGGTGCGGGATGCGGGATGCGGGGTGCGGGATGCGGGATGCGCTCCGGGCACCGGCGGCTGCGGGTGAGCGCTCACACGGCTCTGACAGCTCCGCTCGCTTTCTCCTTAAAATAGCCTCATTAAAATAATAATTTTTTTTTTTTTAAAAAGCCAGATGTGCTGCGGGGGAAGCGTGCCCCGGAACCCCCTTTTTTAATCACCGTGCTCCTGAAAAGCAGAGCACGAACTGCCGTGTAAAGCCCTGCCCGGAGCCCCCGAGCCCGTCCTGCAGAAGTTGGTCTGTTTGTGGTAACACCTTTTTGCATCGTTCTATCCAAAAGGTTCTGATGATATTTCGAGGTAGAGCCTTTTTTTTTTTCTTTTTTTTCTAAGGTTGACAGGTTGACACACATCTTACAACATCATGTCTTTGATGAGCACACACGGTGTTAATTGAGGTTGCCATGGGAGGCATGCACGTAGTATAAATAAGCTCCCTTCTTGCCATGTGATTTCGCTTTTGTATTCCTCAAGCCTCCTTTTTGTATTCTCTGTTTTTGCATATTGTCATATGGTGCATTAAAGATAAAAATATCTGCTGTCTCAGGGTGTAATTTCCCTAGCTGGAACTATAAGTGCATATGGAGCAGTGGGGAAAGGATTTAGCAAACCGTAGGAGAAGGAAATATGTGTGTGCCTGTGTAATAAGCATTCACCATAATATGGGCAGTTATATAAAAAAAAGTCCCTTTTTACCTCATAAAACAGCAAAATAGTACTTTCTGTGATGAAACATCACTGGGTTGACATCTTGTGGCCTTATTTTGCCTTTGGATATTGATGCTAATTAGTGAGAAAAACCTGCTATAGTGCATCCAGCCCTGGTCTGCCTCCCAAAATGAAATGTTTAGGGAGAATAAACTTTTTAGTAGTTTTTTAAAATTCCTGTACGGGTCTTATCACTCATTTATTGTGTTCCAGATAAAAAGATGAAAGCCTCAGTCATGCTTTGCAGCAAATTTCATGTAACACGCGAGGGGAACTGAAGCAGAAACCAAAGCCAAGGCAAAGCAGCATCTGACCTTGTCACTGGGGGGCAGAAAACAGCCGCTGCTTCCACTGGTGCTTCGATCAAGCTCCCTGGGCAATGTGGAATTGCAGAGAGCTCACAAAGTGCAAGTTCCCTCCAGGTCCGTGGCGTGAATAAAAATTGTTAATTCTTGGCTTGGTTTGTCATCCTTTGGGGGAAAAGAAAGGTATGTCAGACTGGCCATTGTGCAGTTAGACCAAGCACAACTGGAAGTGGGTTGCTCCAGAGATGAGAGTGACTGAGGCCAGCAAAGCCAAGGAGAAGCCTGTTCAACTGCACATCTACCCGGGATTCCTTGGAGAGGTGATAAAGTGAGTGATAAGGCAAAGTGGGAGTTATAAAGTGGATGCAACAGCTCCAGCAGAACTTCTCACTGCCACGTACGCTCGTTACAAAGCAACTAACATTATTTGGAAATCTGTTTGAGGAAAAAAATGCACTTTGAGCATCTCTGCAGTTCTTGTGTCTGAAGCATTGATCAGGAAAATCACCAGCACAACACCAACAAAAGAGAGGAGAATATGGTGAAGGCAGCTAAGGAAATTGAAATGGAGAACCCAAGAGAGGCAGAGACTCCCAGCACAGGGGCCACATGTTCCCCCCCAGAGGAAGAAGCAAAAAAACCCTCCATGCTCTGTTTTAAGAAGCGGAAGAAGCCCTGTAAGAAGGGGCTGACTGTGAAGGATGCGTGTGAAGGAGCCTCAGAGGAGAAAAGCCAATGTGTCAGCACTGACCAAGAGGAGGCCAAAGCTTCCAATCCACCACGATCCTCCAAAGGAACCTGGGCAGCCATCAAAAACCTTGCCAGGCCTCAGAGAAGGCAGAAGTCCTCCTCACGGAAGAAGGTGCCCTCTGATTCCCAAGTGCAGCTGGAGGTGGATGCTGAGGAGAGCTGTGCACAAGACCTGCCAAAGAAACGGGCGAGCTCTGGGGTGAAGATGCCCTGTGTGAGGTTCTCCAGAGGTAAGAAAAAGCCCAGCCCCTCAGAAGCAGTGGAGGAGTCAGAGGGCAGTGCTCAAGCAAATGAAGTGATGGGTGTTGTGAATAAGGCTAGTGAAGAGCCAGAGGATTTGGCCCCGACAGACAAATCCGAATCCCTGAGCCCAGTCTCTGCACAGCTGGAGCAGGATACGGCGAAACAGGAGCAGCATAGAATGAAGGAGGACCAGGATACAATGAAAAAGGACCAGGATACAGTGAAAGAGGAACAGGATACAGTGAAAGAGGACAGCCATACAGAAAAGGAAAGTGACACCTCTGTTGGGAAGGGTGAGCCCTCAACAGAGCCCACACGTGATGCAGAACATTCGGAGTGCACTGTTCAGTTGGAGATAACCAGTTCAGAGACATTTGATGAAACAGCCCAGGACAAACTGCAGGAAGGGAGTCTGCCCCAAACCACTGATGATGTGAAGGGCAGGGACATTGCTCCCGAAGCTGCTTCTAAAGATCAACCTGACAATGCCCCTGAAATCACAGAGTGGCAGGAAATCCCTCATATCTGCAAAGAGATGCCTGAAAGGGATGAATTGGAAAAGAGCATAAATCTTTCTAAGGAGTCCAAAGCCGAGGAGTCTGTAACTGATTTTAGTGAGCTGGCATCTGGAGGTGATGCAGCGAGTGTGCAGGAGGCAGTGAGTGTGAAGGATGCAGTGAGTGTGAAAGATGAAGTGAGTGTGAAGGATGCAGAGAGTGTGAAAGATGAAGTGAGTGTGAAGGATGAAGTGAGTGTGAAGGATGCAGTGAGTGTGCAAGAGGCAGCGAGTGTGCAGGATGCAGAGAGTGTGCAGGATGCAGTGAGTGTGCAAGAGGCAGCAAAGGTGCAGGATGCAGCGAGTGTGAAGGATGCAGTGAATGTACAGGATGCAGTGAGTGTGCAGGATGCAGCAAGTGTGAAGGATGCAGAGAGTGTGCAGGATGCACTGAGTGTGCAAGAGGCAGCAAAGGTGCAGGATGCAGCGAGTGTGAAGGACACCGCGAATGTGCAGGATGCAACGAGCATGAAGGATGCAGCGAGTGTGAAGGATGCAGTGAGTGTGCAAGAGGCAGCAAAGGTGCAGGATGCAGCGAGTGTGAAGGATGCAGTGAATGTACAGGATGCAGTGAGTGTGCAGGATGCAGCAAGTGTGAAGGATGCAGAGAGTGTGCAGGATGCACTGAGTGTGCAAGAGGCAGAAAATGTGCAGGATGCCATGAGTGTGCAGGATGCAGAGAGTGTGAAGGACACCGCGAATGTGCAGGATGCAACAAGCATGAAGGATGCAGCGAGTGTGCAGGATGCAGAGAGTGCACAGGAGGCAGTGAGTGTGAAGGATGTAGGGAGTGTGAAGGATGCAGTGAATGTACAGGATGCAGTGAGTGTGCAGGATGCAGCAAGTGTGAAGGATGCAGAGAGTGTGCAGGATGCACTGAGTGTGCAAGAGGCAGAAAATGTGCAGGATGCCATGAGTGTGCAGGATGCTATGAGTGTGCAGGATGCTATGAGTGTGCAGGATGCAGCGAGTGTGAAGGACACCGCGAATGTGCAGGATGCAACGAGCATGAAGGATGCAGCGAGTGTGCAGGATGCAGAGAGTGCACAGGAGGCAGTGAGTGTGAAGGATGTAGGGAGTGTGAAGGACGCAGTGAGTCTGAAAGATACAGCAAGCTTGCAGGATGCCACAAGTGTGCAGGATGCAGCAAGTGCCCAGGATGCAGCAAGCATGAAGGATGCAGCGAGTGTGCAGGCGGTAGCAAGTGTGCAGGATGCAGTGAGTGTGCAGGAGGCAGTGACTGTGCAGGATGCAGCAAGTGTTAAGGATGTAGTGAGTGTGCAAGATACAGCAAGCATGCAGGATGCCACAAGTGTGCAGGAAGCAGTGAGTGTGCAGGAGACAGCAAGTGCCCAGGATGCAGCAAGCGTGGAGGATGCAGCAAGTGTGCAAGAGGCAGCAAGTGTGCAAGAGGCAGGGAGTGTGCAGGATGCAGCAAGTGTGCAGGATGCAGTGAGAGTGGAGGATGCGGTGAGAGTGGAGGATGCAGCGAGTGGGCAGGATGCAGTGAGTGTGGAGGATGCAGCGAGTGTGGCAGATGCAGCAAGTGTGGAGGATGCAGCAAATGTGCAGGAAGCAGTGAGTGTGCAGGAGACAGCAAGTGCCCAGGATGCAGCAAGCGTGAAGGATGCAGTGAGTGTGCAGGATGCAGCGAGTGTGGAGGATGCAGCAAGTGTGGAGGATGCAGCAAGTGTGCAAGAGGCAGTGAGTGTGGAGGATGCAGTGAGTGTGCAGGATGCAGCGAGTGTGGAGGATGCAGCGAGTGTGGAGGATGCAGCAAGTGTGCAAGAGGCAGCAAGTGTGCAGGAATGCTCCAGCCATCAGATACTAGAAGCAAGTGCAGGTGCTGGTGTCAGCATCGTCATCACCATCACCGAAGCTGAGGACTCTGACAACACTGACTCTGACCAGGCCTATGAGCCGTCCCCAGTTTTGCACCAAAAAAAGCAAAAAGGGAATAAAAAATCAAACAGGAACGCTGACGTTGGCCAAAAAGAGGGCCCTGAGGCTGGTGGTGGTCCCCAGGCAGAGGAGAAAGGTCCGGGTGACCAGGGGCACAGAGCTGGGGAGCAGTACGAGCTGCTCCTCATGGAAACCGCCTCCTCCCTCGTGAAGGCGGCCATTCAGTCATCCATAGAGCAGCTGGTCAACGAAATGGCCCTGGAACAGAACAAGCACAACAGCTTCCTGTGATGGCAGCCTTGCCCCAGAGAGAGAGGGCAGAGAGAGTGATTTCAAGCTCCATTTGGCCTGCGGGGTGTGTGGAGAGCTGGGAGAGCTCCCGGTGAATTCTGTAGTTAATTCTGCATGCCCGTTCAGTTGTGTCCATGTGAAACAGATCCCGGGACGTGGGCAGACCCTGCTGGGTGCAGCGTGTCCCCTGGGGCTTCAGACAGCGCCACTGACCACAGCTGCGGAAAAATTAAGGTGTTACAGTGACTGTATTTTCACTTATTGGCACATTTATGTCAAGGCCACGTTTCTGCTGTCACCCACGCCCTGTTTCCCCGCTGTTCATGCTGTAGATCTGTACATACCATGTGTTGGAAGAACGGCCCTGAGAGGCAGCGAGTGCCCAACCTGCTGCTGGGCTGGACTGAAACAGCTGGAGGCTTTACTGCCGATGAGGAAGAGCCAAGTGTCTGCAATATTAACAAGAAAACATCAGTGCCAGGCTGCGTTCTGTGCTGTGAGCCGGCCCTCGCCGCGGTCTCTGCTGTGGCACGAAGCCGGCGGCTTCCAGCGAGCTCTCTCCTTGCTCTCCCCGTGTCGGGAGCAGCCTGTGCATCTCCAGACACGCCAAAGCTCAAGCTCAGCATCAGCCTGGCCCTGCTGACCCCGGGCTGCGCGAACGCCTCGTCTGCTGGGGGAGCCTTTCCCGCACCACTGAACTCCACGGGAAAAATTCCCTGCGGCATCCCGGGCGTGGGCTGGGCGGGAGCAGCCCTGCCCAGGCAGCCCCTCTCCTCCCTCCCTCCCTCCATCCCTCCGTCCCCACGCCGGTGTCGTGCTGAAGCTCTCCTCAGATGTAGCATATTTTTTTATACATGGCATGCGATATAAATAGCAGTGAGCTGCATGCGTGAGCAGTCGGCGCGGCTCGGGAGGCTGCCGGCATCGCTGTGGTTCGCTCGGAGCATCCCCGGCTGCTGGCGGAGCCTGCCCCGCTCCGAGCCCTCATCCCGCCCTGCTGGCATCCCTCGGGAATGGTGCGGCGTGCCCGGCTCGCTGCCATGGCTCTGGCACGCCGTGGAGCTCGCTCTGAACCACGCAGGGAAATGCTGGAGCAATCTTACCAGAGTCCTCAGGGAAAAAAAAAAAAAATCCTGACATGAGGGCCTGAGGACGTGGCTGGAAAATGCCAGGACAAGCCTCCTTGAACTGCCCTGCCCGAGGGGTTTGCACCGAGCAGAGTGTGTGTGTGTGAGCATCACCTCCAGCTAGCAGCACTCCGGGAGAAAGGGGCCTTTTAGTAACCCGGGACTGCATCTGCGTGGCTGGGATTTGTGTCCAGCTGTGGGCAAGGCAGAGTGTTCCTCTGAGAAAATTCTCCTGCGTGTCGCTCAGCCGGCACAGAAATAGCAGCTGTGCTTGGCAATTGCTCACCAACCATGAGCTGAGATTTCCCTTCCCAGCACAGACTTTGGATTCCTGCTAAAATACAAGGGCTGTACCTGTCCCTTGTACCTGGTGCACAAAAAGATGTTTTAAACCTTGATAAAACACCTTGATGTCACGAGAGGACTGCAAGCAGCGAGAGTCACAGCTCATCTCTGTGCAAGTAAAACTTAAAAAACCCAGAGGGTGGTAAAGAAAAAAAAAAGTCTTTTTTTTTTTCCTGTGAATTTGTTTATTAAGTTATCAGCTATTGATAATTCAGTGTGTACAATTTTAATGGCTTTGTACTTCATACTAGTCCTTCCAGGTATTTTGCCATACTTTTGGAAAAGGGACTTTTAAAGGACTTTTAGATGTACCTTTGGAGCTGCCACAGCACCCCGGGAAGAGCCATCCTGATGCTGGGAGAGGCTTCTGGGGTTACACTGGGCACTGTGGCAGGCTGGTGCTGAGCAAAGGGCACCAGCATTGCTGTGGGATCCCACTGCAGTCAGCTGCAGAGGAGGATGCCCAAGCTTTAGTAAATAAACACAAAATTACCCCACAGGGGCAGGCTGTCATCCTCTGTCAGCCTGCTGAGCTGTTTTGGGAGGATTTGGTGTTATTTCAGTATTGCCTTTTAGGTGAAACACATCTTCAGAAAAGGAGGAGAATGGAGAAATGCCCAGGCCAGCCCTGCCCTGTGACTTGCTCCATGTCAGGTGTTGGGTTTGCATCCTCTCTTGTATCTGGTTTTCCCTCAGTTATAGCTGTACATAGAACTGATGATTATTTCATTAAAGCTGAATGTACCTGTTGTTTTCTCGCCTTGTGATTGAGTGGGCAGCTATGGAGCGATTTTATATGTGAAAGGATTAACTCACAGTGGTGCTCCGTTGTGTCCAGCTTTTCCGGGCAGTCATACAGTGAGCAGAGTGAAATCTTAATGTTGGTGGCAGATCCAAATTCTTTGGAGGTTTGCTCCTCCTCTGCCCTTTCTGTGACATTTCCTTTTGGTTGCTGGTCAGACATTTCTGCTGCAGAGTCCTGGCTGCCCAGGGACTGCTATAAGGAATTTGTGAGGGATCACAAATCTCTGGCAGCTGAGAAAAGCCATCCTGCTGCCCCATGGTTAAATTCCCTATTAGATACTCTGAGGAAATGTCTGAGGCTCTGCAGGCTGACAAGGGTGGTGCTGACAGTGTTCAGCTTGGACCTGGCATTTTGGGAGGGGGAGCAGCACATTTGATGTTTTGGCACTTTCTGGGGCAGATAAGATCAGTCCCACACACTAATTGTTTTTGGGGTTTTTTAAATAGCATCCTTCATATAATTTCTTTAGACAGTTTAAAGCATACAAAAAATACAGGGGAGAGGAGTTATAAATTTTAAATAGTATTAATACTATCTATTCTTTCAGGTTTACAGAACAAAATATAGGTTCATAACAAGTGCTAATGACTTAATTAAGACTGTCTACTCCTTCTTTATGATTAGAGAGTAGAGCATTAATAAAACATTTATTCTTTCGTAGAAGGAATGATAAATTTACTATTGTAAAGAGTGCTGGGAACCTGTGAGGATGTGGCTGTGACAGAGTACCAAAGGGTGGCCTGACTTTAGGACCATCATCCTCACCAACAGCTAAAATAATCTGGATTTACCATAGAATCACAGGATCATTCAGGTTGTAAAAGACCTCTAAGGTCTCCAAGCACTGCCAAGGCCACCACTAAACTGTGTCCCCAAGTGCCACATCTACATATTTTTTAAATCCCTCCAGGGATGGCGACTCCACCACTGCCCTGGGCAGCCTGTTCCAATGCTGGACACTCCTCTCAGGGAAGAATTTTTTCCTGATATCAGGTAATTTTTATGGCTCTATTAGGCTTGCTTCTGAGCTGTCTGGCTCCTTACCCAGAAATTCATTGCTTGCTTCCCTCTGAATTATGGAAGTGGTTCTTCTGCTCACCCCACAGCCTGTGCTGCTGCTTTTGTCCCAGATGTTTCCAGTGCTCTCCTCAGTGGGGACAATTCAGCTCTGTATCAAACAAGCTCCCTATCCCTGCTTTGCTGTGTCATTTTGAATATTTTCATCTCCCACAGCTTTTTTATATTAGCAGCAAAGAAAAGGGTGTTTAAATAGCATAACTCATACCCAGAAAGGCTTCCAGGGGGATAAAAAGCTTTTCTGTTAAGTCAACACTGAGCCCAGCAGAAAACAAGTGTATCCATTGAAAAGTTCCTTGTGGAAACTGCCAGTAGACAGTGATGGCACATACAAATATTGCATTTTCTTTCCTGCCCTGGGACACCAGAAATGGATTAGAAATGCACTGGGGCAGATCTCCAGCTGCTGAAGGTCATGGCAGCTCCACAGGCTTCAAAGGACTGACTCTGCAGCAGCCAGGAGTGTGGTGTTTGAATCCAAGGTGCAATCCCTGCATCAGTCATGGACATTCTCGTATGCAACATGTATAAAAGGTTGTGGGGAGTTTTGTTGTTGTTTTTTGTGGGGTTTGGGTTGTTTGGGTTTTGGGGTTTTTTTAAATGTATGTAAGAAATTGAGTAAATTCACAAAATATGTGGGAATCTTGGTTTGCACTTTGGATGGATGGATGGATGGATGGATGGATGGATGGATGGATGGATGGATGGATGGAAGCCAGACCCACGTGTTACAGGCACTGAAGCCCTGATGTTTCCCGTGTTATAGATAGAACCTTTCAACATGAGTAACTCAAAATGAACTGCTCCAAGGAAACAGATTGATTTAAATAATTGCTTTAATATGATTTTACCTCTGCAGTTTTATTTCCCAGAGAAATGGTTCTTGTCAGCTCTTGTTGGGTAGTACTAAAAGAATGAAATACTTTTCATTTGCAAACGGACAAAATTTTAACATTAAATGTAACTTTAAAAAACCAACTAATCAGAGGATGTTATTTCTTGTACCATTATTTAAGCTACAATACAGGTTAACATTTTTTAGGAGGCACAGCTTTCATATGTCTTTCTTTTTGCATATAATTGTGAAGAGTGCAGTTCTGTGCCAAATGATGGGATTTTTCTGCTGTGGGGATAAAGTCCACTTAGCCAAAAAGTGGATTTCAGCAAAAAATACCCAAACCCCGCATTTTAAAGTAGGTTTCGTTATATAAAAACTGACAAACAGGCTGGATACAAAAGGGAGGGAGACGGTAAGAAAACATGCTTTGCAATTCAGATTGTTAAGATGAAAGTATCATCTGCAGCTCGAGCTGGCAGTCACCCTGTCAGTGCTCAAGTTAGAGCTGCCTTCCAAACCTCTTTAATCTGGAAGAGGTGACAAGGTGCTCTCCTTTCGGGAGGTGCTCTCCAGCGCCAGGTCCTTACCTGTGCACGGACACGCCGAGCATCGCTTTGCCCTTGTCCCTGGGAGAAGATTTCCATCTGGAGAGGGATGGATGTCATCTCCGCGCCCCAGCGCCCGCCACTCGTGTCACATTTGCTCTCACATTTCCCATTTTAATGAACACCCGAGGCCGCGCCTGACAGCTCGGCGTGACGGGAGCCTGCTGAGCTGGCAGCGGGGTGGGAAGCGAAGGAGTGCGGCTCCTCCGGAGCCCCGATCCCCCGGGAACTGGGATGCGCTGCATCCCCGGCCGCACCGCACCGCAGCGCCACGGCGTCGGCTCCACACAGCCCGAAAGGCGGCTTGCATTCCATTTCCCGGCCGGAGCAGGGCAGGGGAGGCCGGGCTCCGGGAGGCTGGCAGCAGGGCGGGCTGGGCGCAGCAGGAAGGCGCCGCGAGTAAGCGAATGGGGAGAACAGCCCGGTGCGGGATGCTCGGCCCTGAGGACAGCCTGGGCCGCCCGCCCTGCCGGCTCCGGGGGCTGCGGGCGGCGGAGGCGAGCGCTGCGGGAGCGGGTCCCTCCCGGGGTGACGCGGGGCACCCGGAGCTCGGCGGGGCTGCTCGCCCCCCGCCGGGCCCGCCCTGGGTGGGTGACACCGCTGTCTGCCCGCCACGAGCTTCTTCTGCTGCATCCATCACCCCTGGGCGGCTCGCCGCCCCGGTTTCCCTGCCCCGGCGCCTATAGCTGGCTTTATGTCCTGGTTTCCTGTCCTGGCTTTATGTCCTAAACCCAATGTTTGCAGCTCCCAGGGATTGCCAGGAGGGACAGGGGGCTTCAGACAGTGTTTTTCTAGAGTAACAGGAGGATTCACACAGACTAAACATTGCTGCACTGCCCTGTGCATCCCAGGAGGTACCCCCAAGTTCCCAGAAGGAACCCTCCAAACTTCCCAGAGCCACCTCCACTCGGGTGAAACCCAGAGAAGGCTGAGAGCTTTGCCCTGCCTTTGTTCTGGGTGTGCAGCCTCTGGTTCAGAATAGTTGGTGGAGAATATTTCCTCTCCTAGGCTGCTTTTGAAGTTGTGTCATTACTTTTTCTTAATGAAACATGCAAATCCCGTAGATGCCGCGATTGCATCTCAGGGAGCTCAGTCCTGACACAGCTCTGGTTGCAAATATTTAACCAGGATGTAATTTAGGGCACATCCATCCTCATTACCCTTTTCTTCATGATTTCTTATTGCTCAGAATGCATTTTCTTAGTGCTGGACTGCTGGGCACCCCACTCTGTTGCAGTCGTTTTGGCAATCCTGGACGAGAAGGGAAGAGACTGAGTTTTATTGAACAGGGAATCTGAAGATCATGGCAGAGGTATGGCATGACCTGTTGGCTGATTGCTGAGGGAGGCCTTCCATAAGCCATGAAGTTTGGCCACTGTTAGCCCATAGTCCCATCCAATGATGCTGAATTGCATATGCTGAGGTCGCTTTTCACTGCACTTCTGAAGGCTTCACTTACACAGGACAAATACTTTCTGCTTCCAAAATACCAGAAAACTATTCAGTATCAGCATTACGGTGAAGAAATGAAATGTCATGATAGCAGTATTTCATGGCCTTATTTTTAACTGTAATGCTCACTGCTTCAGGTTTACATCCCAACAGCAAATTTCATTTCCCTGTTCAACCTTCTCAGTGTGCACAAAAGCAACATTCTCCAGATCCCACACTGCAAGGGGGGATAAACACACTTTTGCCCAAAAACTTTAATGCACCCTGAGAAACACACACCCTGTTGGATCCAGCAGCATCAGGGCACTAAAAATATTTTGAAATATTTCAAATTACCTATCTTGAAATGGTTTCTCATGCTCTGGTGGTTGAGCCAGCCCATGTACAGTCAGTATTTTGGGGCCAGCACATGATGACAGCCACTGCTGCACTTAGTGGCATTTCAGAGGTTCACTTGAGCTGGCTGAAGAGCCTGCTCATGCTCAGGGGCTTTGGCAGGGGGGATCTGAGCCCAAATCTTCCCATCTTTACATCAAATATGAGCTGTAGAGCCCAGAGAGAAGGCACTTCAATGATTATAGTTCACCAGCTCAGTACCCCTAATGATGGGACGTCTCCAGAGCACATGGCAAATCTCCAAGGATCCCCTGGAGCTTTGGGACTTCCAGCCTTGAAGTATTCCCACCCCAAGGCTTTCTTTGCCTAAGACCATGTGTATCTAATAACCAATCACAGATATCTGGAAGGAATCACTAGTATAATTATTCTGCATACTGTGACAACATTTTTTAGGTTATTAAAAAAAAAAAAAATCAAATCCCAACAAGAAATGAGTATTTGTCAAACCCAGCTGTGCAAGTCAGGCAGATTTCCAAGCATGCACCGGCATAAAGGTTAAGCACTCAGTAATTCAAGTGTCTTCCACATACAGTAATAAAACTTCTCATGATTTATCCAGGAGCAGCTGCTGCCCTTGCTTAGCAAATGTAACTGCCCTGTAAAATTATTTTCTATTCATAAGACTTGGAGAGAATGATGTTTTTATGTTAACATAACTCAGAGCTGATGACTTCTGTCTCCAGCTTTTCCTGCTGCTTTAATTATAACAGTGCTTTAACACTTGCAGTAGAAAACTGCTGAAAATGCATTTCTTGTATTGCAAATGATGGGGAAAAAAAAAAAGCCTTTGGCAGACATTTGATGTCACAGATGTTCAGTCCCACAAAGGTTAACCAAAGTACACCTTTAAAAGGGGGTGTGAGGATAACAGAAAACAATCCTCTACAGTTGTATCTTTTCAAGGATGCCCGGGAACACAGCCCTGGTTTGTGTCTCATTTCAGCTTTGCTGGTGTGTTTGCAGGCAGTGCTGTGGAGTCACTCCTACAGCACACACAGATGGGGGATGTTTGGCTCTCTTACCCAAGATCATGGCTTTTATAAAAGCTCCCTATTTAATGGGCAGGAAGAGAGCAAAACAGTCCAGCCCACGCACCTGAGGATGAGCAGCGTGTCCCAGAGATGCCTTGGGCACTGCTGCTTGCTGTCCCTGCTGCTGTCCCCAGCACTGACCTCTATTACCACTACCCTGCTACCTCTGCAGAGACAGCAAGAGCCCTTTGACTTTCAACACCAATTACTTCAGGCAAGTTAGGCACCTATTTGACAATCCGAGGTGCTTATCTACTGGCTGAATAGCTGATATTCAGTCCCTCTACAGCTCATTTTACAGCTCTAGCCACCCCAGCAAACACTTCTTTCTGTTTTTAAATTAAATGTAGGAAGCCGAGGGAAGCAAGCAGCACCCAGAGAAGCCAGCCCACTCGGTAAAGTGTCACACACAAATAAGGAATGACCATAAAATATCTCTTTTTTTCTCTTTTTTTTACCCATCATGTAGAAATGGAGGTCAGTGGAAGCCGGAGGGCATTTGCCCAGTTATGAGCAGCCTGTGCTGGATGCGATTTAGCTGATGCTATTAGGCTGGGAGAGAAGCAGAAGGCTTTCTTCTAGGAATGCTCTGTGTGAATGGCTCCGTGCTCAGATGCAGCATTCACAGGCCTGGGTGTCGGCTGGGTTCTGTTTGTTTGCTTGTTTTAAGGAACGGCTTTTTAAACAGAGTTCAACTGTGTTCACACCAGAGCAGCTTTAATGGGCACAAGCAGCAAAAGCAGCACTGGGGCTTGCAGGGAAGCACGCTCCAAACCACAGCCTGCATTTTGCAACATCATCTCGGCAGGCTCGGGGACTGGTTGCTCTGCCCCTTTGTCTTGAAACACAATTTGGCAGCTCTCAGTGGCCAATCCTGCCCCTGGAGTGAGCAGCTCCCTGCCCAGGAGAAGCAGCAACCACCCCTACAAAGACCTCAGATGGTCTTTTAATATGGCAGTGATTTAATTGCAGCTCTTGCTCCAGGACAATATCAAAGACAGCTCAAGAGCCCCGACTACAAAGAGCTTTGGAGCAGGCGTTCTGACAGCAAACTGTTCTCACACCATTGTTCAGGCTCCCCCGTTCCAAAGGGAATGACTCGGCTGCACCAGGACTGGCAGGAAGCTTCCAGCTTCTCAAAAACTGGGTAAAGAGATTACGGGAGCAGCTCACGAGGCTTTTGCTCTGAGCTGCAGAAGAGATCTCTGCTCTCTAAGAATTTGGTGTGTCCCCTCAGGGCCTTCTGAGTAGCAGCATCTCTGAGGGGTGGGCTGCAGCCCATCTGGTGGGAAGCCTGGGATCAAAACTAGAGAGGGACAAACTATGAATTCAAGAGGCGTGTGTATAATTTTAACCCCTCCTTGGATATTACCCTTCAGATAACATGTAATGATAAATGAAAAGCTGGATGGGACTTTGAGCAACCTAATGGAAGGTGGCCCTGCCTGTGGTAAGGGGATTGCAACTAGATCATCTTTAATATTCCTTCCAGCCCAAACCATTCCATGACTATATGATAGGCAAAGAACTTGCATGTTATCATCTCACACTGGCTCTGCAAACAGAGAAAAAAATAACACGCTGTGTATTTGCTCTGAGCAAATATACAGATTGTAATATTAAAAAATGTGTTTACTCCAAGCTGTTTATAAAGTCAGAAATCATCTTCACTCAGAAAAATGCCACGTGTGGGGCATCTAATCCTGTAAAGACTTAAGTAGGGTACGTGTCCTCTCAAAGAAGAGAAAATTTTGCAGCTTTCTTCCTCCCTGCAGAGAAGACAGTCCAAAAATGAAACATGGTCCTAGAGGGGCATCAAAATCTGTCCTTGCTTATGCAGTAGTGGTGAATGAGGGAGGAGTAGGAGGGAGGAAAAACACATGCAAATCCCTAGAGTTTAAAAGTAAATTTAGAAGACAGATGAGGACTCCAGGGCTTGTCAAAATGAAGGTTGCCACCCCTACATCAACACTGCCAATTCCCTTGAAAAGAGCAGCCTTATGGCTCCTGCAAATATTTATGTAGAGATTTATTAACTGCAGTTACATGAACAACATGAACTTCAGGATTCATCTCCTTGAGATATTTATTTTCATTAAAAACAAACTGTTTGGGAAACACAATAAGTATTTCCCTCTACACTTCCATCCATCTGGTTTCAGAAGAGCAATTCTACGGGATACAAACAGTCCTAGGCACCACACAGAGCACTAGACAATGTTTAAACCTCACACCCAGCAATACAGCCTTTACTCCAGTACAGCAGAGTAGGAATAAGTTCACATTCAGGAAAAACATAACTGAGTTACACGGAGGCTTCCAAGAAGGACTTAGATGGGAATTAACTCGAGTTTAAAAGTTAGAGAAGTAAAAAAAGCAAGGACACAAGTCAAAGTACACAGTCCTTCACAGCTATCTCAGCGGTGAGGGGAATGGTGGCTCAAGAAAATCAGCTGCACAGAGCAGCCACTCCCTAGGTGGAGAATGCCAAAACATCCAGTTTCAGCATCTGAAGGGGGAGAATTACTCTACCAGGATCGTATCGACGCTTTCTTGGATGAGATCTGACTCCAGAATACATTCATCTAAGTGGTCTTGGGACAAGCTGGAGCTCTTACCCACACTCTCGCTGTCACAGTAAGGGTGAAACCTGGGGGTGGCGGGGCTCTCCAGCTGCTGGCAGCGGCCGTACCTGTGCTGCTTCCCTCTGTGCGTGTACATGTGCTCCAGCAGCTGGCTCTTCCGGAAAAACGCGCGGCCGCAGACGGTGCAGCTGACCTTCCTCTTCCTTGAGAAAGAAAAGTTACAGTTCAACTCCACCGGTTCGTGGTCCTTGGAGATGAGGGAGAGCTGCCCGATCTGCAGAGGCTCCAGGTCGCTGCAGCTCGGGTGCTCCAGCTGATGCTCATCCTCCTTGAGGAGGAAGGCCCCGAGGCGATGGCCGTCCCCCGGCTCCCTGTCCTCAGCCAGAGGCTGCACCTCGCCCAGGTCGCTGCTCTCCAGGATGGAGGCCGGGACGCCGAAGGGCAGCGAGCCCGAGACGTGGGTGTGCAGGTGCTGCCGCAACCCGTCGCGCGAGTCGAAGCGCTCCCCGCAGTAGTGGCACAAGTGCACCTTGAGGCCGCCCTTGGCGAGGATGGGGCTCGCTACCCCCGGAGAAGGAGGGGTGCAGCTCTGGGACACCACGGGCTCCGAGTCGCACCTCTCCTGCTTGATGGAAACCGAGAGCTTGGGGCGCTCCTCCGCCGGCTTGGCCAGCGCGGCGGGCTGGGCCGCGGGGCGAGCGGCCTGCTGCTCCAGGGGGACGTCGTCCAGGCCGATGGCCAGGGACAGCTGCAGCTGGGGGTGATCACCCTGGGCCGCGGCCCTGCCGCCCGCCTTGGGCAGGCTCTCCTTCGCTCCCAGGCGCTCCTTCGCCAGCTTGTGCGCCGTGGAGATCTGGATCCCGTACAGGTTGGAGGACTGGACCGGCTCTGGGGAGAAGGCCTGGTTCATCTCGATGGCGATGTGGGAGAGGTGGTCGGCGTGCAGAAAGCGGATGCCCTCCTCCAGCCGGCTCTGGCTGACAGTCTGCTTTGGCCCCTTCCCAGTGTACATTATATGTAACAAGTAACTAAATATGTCAGGCTGGATGTCTGTAGGCTGAATTTTTATGCACTCGCTGAAATAAAACAGATGATTAAGTACACAGAGGGATCCAAATCCCGATCCATTACCTGCCCATTTGCTGTGAGAGCACTTTTACAAGCAGCACTCCCTGCCAAGCCCTGCAGAAGTGCAGAAGCTTTGTTTGCAAAGCCAAGTGCCTGAGTCTGCGTTTATCCCCGTGATTCTGAAGACCACGTGCACAACTGCAGCTGAGGCTGGTGACCAGCCCTGGCCACCCCATCCCTCCCGTGCACAGCCAGCTGCAGCCACACAGCACTGCAGCGATGCCATGCAAGCTGTGCATCACCAGTGTGTGCCACTCCATCTATCTGAGCAACAAGTTCAGCTGCCAGGACTGTGTAATCTTTATGAGTATTGCACTTAAGTGTCAGCAAACAACATCCACAGGGAAGGGCAGTTAACTCATCTCACTTCCAGCCAAGGGGCGATGCAGCTGATCCTAAAGATTATCTCGCAGAGGTTCTGCAGGCCACGACCCTCAGAAAGGAAGGGGAATGAAGAAGGTTTAATCCATCACAAGCAGTCAGCCCCAGGTCAGAGGCCAGACCTTGGCACTGCTCTTGTTATACCTGCAGAACCACTCCTGACCTGGCCAGGTGAAGCATGTGAACAACAGCTTGAAATGAACTGATGATCTCAGTCTCAGCCCTTATCTCCAAGAGTCTGAAGCACAGAACTGTGATAAGGCCACAGCTTCTTGATTGTTTCAAGCCTGTGGATCCTGCCAGAAATGACAGTCTCACCCAGCAAGTTTGACAACAACCTAAGGCAAAGTACTGGACATATTTCACATGGGCAGGAGTACCAGGATATCCCTGGATTCCAAATCTGCAAGGCTCTCACTGCAGGAAGATGGTGGTATTTACATGCTTTATTTATCTGGTCACACAAATGTCTCAACGCCAAAATGCAGGGTCTGATGTTGCCATATGCTGACTAAGAAAGTGGTTTTAAAGGGCAGTGCTTTCTGGACTGGGATTGTTTAGAGAGCCAAGGCCTGTGCTGGGTTAGGAAAATAATCTCAGACCACCTAACATCCCCATTTATGCTCTCTTAGACTTTTATACCTTTAGAAAGAAGAAAAAGCAGGATGCTGAGAGTGGCAAAAGGATAGGAGGAGAGCTGTGTGTTCTTACCTCGTCTGATGAATAAATATCATCTTAAAATAGTTTGAAAAAGCAGCGAGCACCGCTCTGTGGGCTTTGAAGTAAACATCTCCAATGGCAACTGTGCAGTCACACAGAAAGCCAAACTCCCGCTGCATGTTCAGCTGCTGGAGGAGGAGGACGCTGTGGCCGGTGGTATCCATGCTGTGCCTGGGAGCAAGGGAACAAGATGTTCATCCCATTGAGAAATCGGAGGGCTCCCAAAGGCTCCAGTGTTGACTTCTCACCACCAAAACGAGATGGACGCCTGGCATGGAGCCTCTTCCCTCCTCCAGACAGTCCCTGCACCCCAATTTAACAGCTTCTCCTTTGAGCCGCTGGTGCTCAAACCCACCACCAAGGAGCTCAAGACCTCTCGGGGACTTTCCCATCTGCCAGCTACACTCAGAGATGCTTCTCCCGCGGATTAACCACGCTCCGTGGGGTGCCAGCGCTAACTTTAAACCCGGCAGGCGCTCTCCCCGCGATCTGACGGCGCTGCCCGCTGCCGCGGAGCCGCGGCGGGGGCCGAGCCCGGCGGCCGCGGCACAGAGCAGCCCTGTGCGCCCAACAAAGCCCCCATTGTGCGGGCCGCGCCCCGCCCCGCCAGCGGCCCCTGCGCAAATAAGCGCTGATATTTGCCATTGTTTCCGCAGAAAATTGTTGTGTGGGGGAGAGAGAGAGAAAAAGAGAGAAAGAGAGAGAGAGAGAGACGATGCCCATCGGGAGGCGGCGGGCGCGGGACCAGCGCCTTCCCTCCTTCCCTCCCTCCCTCCCCGGCGGCCCCGCGGCTCCCCCGCGCCCGCGCAGCCGCTTACCCGCGCGGAAGCGCCGCCGCCGCCCGCCCCCGCTGCCC